TGTATTACCATTATCTTTCATGTTTCAGGGTAAACATGAAATCATCCTCAGATAACTTTCCTATTATTTCCAAGATTTTTCCACTGTCTTTTCCTTCAAACTACTTGTTTCATTTCCTATTTTCAAAATGACCCCAAGTCAACAAAAATAGAGCTTTTAATGCAGCCACATCCCCCTCTTTGTGTTTCTGTATTTGTTTAATCCTTCCTTTCTAATAATATCACATATCTTAAGATTCAAAGCTCTACTTTCTTTTCTGTGTCCTTTTCCTCTCTTTTTTCCCTTAGAATTTTATCCCCTGCTGTCCCTTTTTATTTGACAACATAACATTCCATTTTTTCACATTACATGATATTTCAAGCATATTTCAATATTTACATTCTATTTTTCTTCTTTTCTCATCCACTTCCTGCATCTTTGTAATACTGCATGTATCACCATGTTACTTTTTAAATACTAACGTGAGATAGAAATATCAATCCCTATTATTAGATGAGGGAATTCACCAGGAATTATAATTTAATTAATTATATAAAAGTCAGACTTTCTCCTCTGTAAACTCCACTCCTTTGAACCTGAGTGATACAAGGTGTGCAACAGAGCATTATTAAGTAAGAAGGCAGAGATAAAAGATACTGTGCAATCAAGAAGATTTATGTATTTAATACCAACACTGACAACTCAATTTAAATATTAATAAAATCTATGTATGCACTCACAAGCATCCTACTAACAGGAACACTAATGCAGCAAATTTCCTACCCACCCCAACCTGTGTTTCAGGGAAGAAGAGCTATTCTGCCAAAGAGCCACAAAGTCTTTGCTCTTTTTTTGCAGCGGGTACCACAGTCTATAACTACTGACAGCCGAGCATGGCAGGCAGCTCTACAGCTTTCAGCTAAAGAGACAGAATTTATTTTGGGTATTTGTGGCTCAATGACCTTTCTGCTCAGTAGGTTGCCTTGGCACAGAGTCAAGGTTTGCGGCCCTCCAGCAGGGCTTGTATGGTTCCAAAGGCCAGAGGATGCTTGGATAGGTAAAAATGGCTGTAGTTAGAACCCTAAAACATGGTGCTACCTTTGAAAATTACATCAGGTCACAAATATCTTTTACAGAACACTGGAAGGAGCTTACTGTGGTAATACTCTGGTTATACACTGGTATAACAGACTAGCCAGGTAGTTTACAGGAACCACAGGGGAGACATTTTTCATTAACATGCACAGAACTATATTTTGAAAATGCTACAATATTTCAAATTTCAAAGTTTCATTATTTTCAGTTCTCACAACCATCTGCTGCTTAGGTAAAAAACATAGTTTAAAGAAATACACCATGCCACATAGCTGCATTTATTGTAACCTACTGCCTTTTCCACAGGTACAGGTCCTACCTACAGTTGTCACAGAGCTCAAGGGTAGCTTTGTTACATAAAGTAACAAACAATCAAATTGCTTATGTTAGACAATGAAAATTTAATTTGTGTCAATAGGAGTCAATTTAACAAAATTATTCCATTAGGGATAATTAAATGAATTCATTTTGCAAATCAAATATGAAAAACCCCAAGGCACTAGATGACAAACAGATTTTACAGTCATCTTGTCTAGGTCAGCCTTAGTTCTTACCAGTGATTTTCAAAAATATTCACATGTGGCAGCACCAACAGCCATTAGAGAGAGAAAAATGAAAACATTCTCTACGTAATTTAAAACTAAAGTCCCCACAGCTCCTAGACCATTTAGTACCTTTAAAAAGCCAGACCCCACTCATCTTGGTTTCAGCACAAAACCAAGACTGATATTCACAGAATCTACATCAAAGACATGTAGGTCTATCAAATGGTATCCAAAGCACTTTTGGGAAAGAAACAACAGCCCACTAAAAAGCTAATGACTCTTCAGAGCTCTTGACATACATTGGATATTAACTTCTAAGCCTTGCAATTTCTGATGTGAGGGTGCTTGCAGCAGTCAGGGACTGTCAGACACACTGGTGCAAAATTTTAGCAAAGGTTGCAGAAGCTGCCTGTTTTTTTATAGGCTGTAGAAAGTTTGGGTTTTCTTTTTCACAGGGGAAGGCACTCAGGCAGGCATCTTGAAGTCTTGAAGGGGAACAATAAATTATACAGGTAGCAGGCTTTTTGTAAAAAGATATACCAGCATAGCATGGTTGCTGTTCTTAAAGCATTATATGCTAAAGATACAAGGATCAAATGCCAACTTCAATTACAGAATAGCAAAGATTTAACAAACATTGATTCAGCAAAGTAGTTGCCAAAAAGTGGCCAAAATCTTGAGTTTTAAGCAGGTGAAAATTAAACTGAAATTTCAGCAGATGTCAAAGCATCTTGCTAGATTACAGCCAAAATACTTATCATGCACTTTTATCTTTGTGATTCAGCCTGGGACCCTTGTATTTTCACTGCATATGCACAAAGGTCAAGATCAAATCCCTAGACAGATAAAACTCCCAGAGTCAAAATCCAGATTTTTCCAAGAGTTGAAGTTAATCTCCACTTGTTGGGATTTAAACCAAGTGATACTCTGAGCAGGTATCTGATTCTCTAAGGTGCCCTTGTACTTCACTGTAGGATATGCCAGATTTTCAAAATATTAAAGCATTAAAAAAAACCACCCCACTCTTCTTTTTCCTTGTTTTAAGCATCCTCAGAGCAATAGGCATTTTTTTTCTCAATTAAAGTACTGGTCACAAATTATACTTATTAAAGAAGTGAAACTTTTCATCACTTAGTAGTGAACAATTTTTATATTATATTGCAAAAGACAGATCAAGTGATTAAACACACATCCCCCAAGAAAACCAAAGGGAAAGAGATGAATGCAAGGCTTACATAAAACTATCTCCATCCTTTTATAACTACTAATTTCTTTGTTTTGCTCAAACAGCTATCCAGTTAAAATCATAAATTACTAATAAAATACACTTAATTAACAATGAAGTCAGAAATCCTTACAGATAGTTTTTGCAGGTTTATTTTTGGTTTTCATTTAAAGGAAAAAATGGTACATGAAGTAGAAATAATCCCAGATGCTACAGTCGTTTGGATGCTGCATCTATTTCTTTGTATAGCACACAGTTGCAATCATGTAATTTGTCATTTTTGCACTGGAATTTTCAAATCAGTTTATAGTTTATACATTTCACATGTGGAATTCTGGGTTTAGTGAAACAATTAAAGATCATTAATGTCTTCAATGTAGGGCTATGCTATGATGGATAAACTCTGTATCAATCACTCAGTTGAAACAATTACCAAAATTTACCATGATATGTTTTAATGACAACATAGATCTATTTCCTTTTTTTATGTAAATTGGTAATGAAAGGATGGAGAGCAAGAAAGGACTGACTTATTTTATCCTTGGTGACTATTGCACAGTGCAAAACTATGGGTAAGAGTACGTATTTCAGTCTTCTCCAACATAATCACCAGAAACAGGTATTTGAATACCTAAATATACCTTATATTTAAACAGCCAAATCTGGAGCCCATCAGAACTGCAGACATAAGAGATTTCTACTTCCAAGAAGAGATAGTCTGTAGCCCTTAGTTTATCCTTTAGTACAAAAATTAGGGGATAGAAACATCGCTCCTATGCAATCACAGCCTGCTTCATGGACACACTTACATTTCTGAGTAATCTGAAACTTAATGCATTTTCACAGGGAAGGGAAGGTGTCTGAACCTCAGAGCTGGCAATGATATTCTTTACTCCTGAACAACCCCAGCACTGTAGACAAGGTAATGCAGTTATGGGGAACACTTGGGGCAATATTTGGGACTCAGTGAGGTCACTGAAGAAGCCCTAAAGCTATCTAATGATCAATTGCCAGCATTTCCAGGACTCTGTGGAACTAGGATTTGATGATATTGTGTTTATTAGGTAGAGCAGGCTGTGCACTGATAGTGTTGTATAATCATACATGATGGGGGTGAGCAAAGGGCACTGTTAACTCAGGAATTATATTTCATGGCATACTTTATTCCCAGCAGGAATCTTAGTTTCTGATACAGAAATAATTCTTAAGTACAAAACAACAATATGCTTTCTTAGTAAAAAAGAAGTCAACAGAAAAGACACTGAACATGGACTCCATCATCCCACTGTGCACTGTAACTTATTACAACGTACCGAAACAGCTCCTGGGACTTTTTAAATAGTGTTGAAAGATGTGAATCATACTACATAGAAGAACACCTACAGTATCAAACCAATGAAATATAAAAACAAGGAAATTAAACTACAATTATTCATGAATCCCCTCAATATCTTTAAACCTTAATTTTTAAGTCTTAAGTCTGCATCCTGAAAGCCACAATTTTTTTCAATTGATTTAAAAGTATGTAGCACAAACCCTATACTAGCATAGATGGAAAGTATATATAACAATGAAGTTGAAAGTTTGTTATTGTTATATTTCCTAATACAGTTCCTTCAAAATATCAGTGTTCAAAATAATGTCTTTTTTCCCTTAATTCTTAGAAATATTTTAAATAATTCTGATCTTTAATGACTTATAATCTTTTTATCTACCTTACACCTCAATCTAAGTTTATACTTCCACATATATAGAGAAAAGCATATTCATATATACTTGAAAAATCCACACTTACAGAAACTTTGTTCACGCTTCTGTACTTACCCAGGACACATTTTTAGCCTTGGGTGTTTTTAGCATGGCAACATGCAAGGCTGAAATGACCAACAACAGTCCCACCAGCATGGAAAGTCAAATGGAGGGGAAGTCCAGATGCCTTGGTTACCCCAGGATGTAGAGTTCCTTGGCCTGGCTGACACAGGCACACTGAGCATGTGGTCAGGTAACAATAAAAAAAGTCATTTTTCTTCCCGATGTACAATCCAATCAAACTGAGACACATCTGTCTTCAGCAGCAGCTGGCTGTATTTCTGCATATCCATGAAATCCAAAGTTGGCTCTTTGAAAAGTTAAAACCAAAAGTCAAAGGGACTTACTCTCACAGACACTTCACCTGCCCAGTGAGAAAATGCAGAGTCCAGTTATCCTCCAAGCTTCCAGCCAAGCACTGATCTCACAGGAGAATGAAGCACTGGGAGCCACTCGCCTTCAGAGGATGTCAAAGACACACACAGTTGTGTCTGCACTGTTTAACCGCTGCTTTGCCTGACTACCCCAGGATCCTTAGAGTAATAAAGAGCATTGTGATCTCGATGTTAGTAAATAATGCATGCCAACAGCTCAGGCAGGTACCTGTTGCACTGCCTGTGCCCGTGGCGTGGTGGCTGCCACTCCAGCCCCGCAGAGGGCACCTGTTCTCAGCACCCTCCCGCAGCGCTGGGCTCCCCGCCGGCACGGACACGCGTCCCAGAGCAGCAAGCAAAGGCTGAAAATCACTGTTTCTGCTCGTTTCTCTTTGTTCCTCTGCCCTTCTGTCCTTTTACTTTTACCTCCTGTCAATCTAGATTACCAGCGCAGATCCAGGCTAAATTTTGCAACTATCAGTAGTGATTAGAGTGAGTTGATTGAAATCGGATTATACAGGAAGACCTCTGCTTCCTCACTCAGCACACGGGCCAGTACCATTTGCAAAATACTTATGCTTCACTGCACAGCATGAGAGCATTTGGAGCAGTCCATTAAAAGAGAAACAGCACAGTGGAAACAAGCCAGACTGCACTGTCTTTATAAACAAGAGCAAAGGGATCCTGTTTTCAGTAGCCACATGAATTTACAGGGGAGTGTTTGAGACCATTTTCAGATGGAAGAGTTTGTTGGAGTCTCACAGATTCACCACAAAGCAGCCAAGAGTGGCACTATGTACCTGAAGCGCTCTGTGTACCTGCTTGCTACTGCTCAGATGTGGATCCAGTCCAAGTGTACCTCTGTGACATCTGAGCACTGAACTTGTGAGGAGCATCATCCTTCCCTGGGATAACATCTGCAAATCCTACTGGCAGCATCTACACAATGCAACAAAAGCACTTAATTCAAATGTGCAAAATAGTGATATTTTATCTTGAAAAGAAGAAAATACACAAAACAGAAAAGAAGATTGTGACATAGAACAAAGGAGCAATCTGATAAAAAACACTTTAAAAATGTACAAAATTAAGTCCAACTGACAGACACTGTGAATGCAACAGACAGATGCAGTCTGCATGACAACATACCATTTTTGTAGGACTTCCTAAATAATACCTTAATATTATTAATCTACTCATGATACAGACCTAGATTATGCTTCAAGCATCATCTGTCACTTTACACTGATTATTTAATGTATTTGCATAAATGCAATGGGTTTATGTTTGCAAGAATTCAATTTGTGGATGGTCCATGATTTGTTTATGGGTATTAAAATAATATTAAGATCTTTTCCAAGGTGGCAAAATAAACTTCTTAATTTGTTAAAAGAAGCTCCAGAAACTGCTTATGTGACTGAGACAGAGATAAAATGTGTGTATTTCCCACTGGAAATAACTATCTGATTTTTAAATAATTACAGTATTCTGCTTATTTCTAGTCCACATTGTAGGTAATCAGAAGCTAAGTCTGGTACACCCTGCATTGCAAATACTAGAAAGAAGGTTTATATGCACACAGTGTTTAATTAGATCTCCCTCTTTTTCATAAGTCTACTCAGTCTCATGGAGCTGAAGCACTATCTGTAGTTTCAAATGATTGGGACTCAAAAGTGGATGATTGTCTTCAATAAGTGCACTGAGATTCAAACTCTAGTAGCTGGACAGGTGGAATACAAAGGTACATAACTGGATATAAATCCAGCAGTGTGGAAACTTCATGCAGTGAAAAATTCTCAATGAGATGTTAAGCAGTTATTAGAAACAGTTCTGTTTCAAATACATTATGTCTAGACATATTAAAGAAAATGTTTCACAGAGAAATTACTTTATTCCATTCTGAAAGTTAAAGAATGTAAGTCTAGAGTCTGTTACATTAGCATTACACAACAAAAGCATCCTACAGTATTGTCACTGGTGTAGAATAGATTAGATCAGATCTGCCCCTATATACTGTGACAATAAATATACACTTGGTCCTGTACAGACAAGATGAAAAACAGCTGGCATTTGAGCTTTCTCCTTCTTAATATTAACTCACTTCACAGAATTTTAGAGCAGCAGCTGCGTATGGCTTGCCAGACGTGCTCAAATAAAATGAGCTAAATTTATTCCCTCACACAGAAGGATTTTGAAATATTGAATTTTACTTTAGGCATCTAGGTTATTTCCAATGGCATACATAAAAAAAATCCTATTGCTAAAATATAATGAAATAAAAGACAATAAATGTTGAAAATTTAGATGCTAACAAGAGTGGAAAGTTCAGAAATTAACCCTGTTCTAAGTACAACCTATGGTGCAATCTTTAATTCCAGAGGACACAAATCTCATTGTAGAAAACAGAAGGTGCTCATAAGAGGAACAATGATGAACAATAAACCTAAAATGACAAAAATATTCTGCACTATGTATCCTCTCCTTTCTGATGTGGCACTTCTCCTACAGCCACTGCAACATCCTATAGTTTTTCTGTTGGTAATGAGCACATTTTCAGAAGATGCTTGTGAGGGAAGCTGCTGCTGATATTCTCATTTGATAGCTGGAATATGTATTCCAGATGAGTCCATTAGTTAATGAGGAATCTAGTCTGAGAGGATTCTGGTCTGATCCTTTCAAGAATTTAACATTCTCTAATGCTTTCTGTATTTAGAGCACACTTGTGGACTTTGCATTGCATACTCAGCAGTTCTGCAAACGAATCATCACTTCAATTTTGAGATCACAGTCCTGTTTTCAGCTGGGTATTCCCAAATGATGATACACAAGACACTTAGACTAGAGAATGTCTGATTTAAGCAAAATGTTCAGCCTTGCCAAAAGCAAAGTAAGCACCAAATCTATTTCCATTTTACTGATAAAACTATCCTCTCTCTTTCTGCCCTACATTTGCTAGCTTTGCCTTCAGAAAGAAAGTGATATCTCACATCAAGAACATTGATTGTTTGTTTATTTTTCCCTGAGTATCATCTATCCAGTGATGAATACTGCCATAATCTAAGAAAAAGAGATTTTGGTTCTTGGTCTTTAAATAAAACAATACAACATATACACAGAGTTCTAGGATGTTTTAGTTTTCCAATAACTGACTTCTAATCTCAATGCTTTCTAATGCCAGATTTTCATTTTTTTACAGGTTTTAATAAAAATTCCAGCACTATCACCACCAGAATAGAAACCATATGAATGTAATGCATTGATTTTAATTGCAACAAGCTTCACAGCCACTATCCTCAGTTCAGAACCGTGGCGGAAAGAGAAGCGTGCTACCTGAATCACTCATTTTGTCTCTTCAGAATAAGCAAATGCTGGAATTACTGTGTCTTCTCTCCAGATATAAAACAGAAATAAGACTGTGACCTTGCAAAAAAATGCTGCCAATTTGCTCATTAAAGTTTTGAAGCAATTAGAACATTACAGGACTGCACTGTTTAATGAAGATCATTAAAGAAAAGCCTTTGCATACACAACACACCGTGACATGGGCTGCCAAACCGTAATTGCTATTCTTTACCCAGAGAAATAAATGGCCCAGCTGCAGAAAGGATGAGACCTTTTGGTGGTCAGTCTTCAGCTTACTGATGGTGGAAAGATACTGCAGCTTTAACAGCGGCTCTCCAGCTGCTGTCCCCGACAGCTCCGCATCCCAGTGGTCATCTCCTCTCTGCCACCAAGGGACTCCTGGCTGCACAGCCCAGTCGCTGAGGGTCCCTCCAAGGATCCCTCAGGCTCCCAGCCTCCTGCCCCTTCCCTGAGCCCCAGCCAGCACTGCTATCACCACCCAGCCTGGCCAGCCAAACAAAGGACAGCAGCAAACCAACCCCAGGCTCAAGGCAGATCCCCACAGCCAAATCATATTCGTAGCCAGTGGTTCTCGAAGGATCAACTTGTTTCCTCTAATCTCATTCAAAATAAAAATCTTCTGGAATATAGGCCATGGGAGTAGAAAACCTCCAAGTTGCACAATTCAGAGTCAATGTGCCTGGGGTGAATGGAGGAGTCAGGCAGTAAAGCAAGAAGGCTGCTGCCCAGCTGCTGCAGCCCAGCAGAGAGGGAAGAATATGGGATGGATTTACAGAGAGCCCCTAACTGCAAAGCTGTAAAACGAACCAAAATTCAGATAAGTCAAAGTTTGATTCAAAAATAATTCTTCAACATTTGTCATAGTCTATAATCACCATTCATATTTTCAAAGTATATTATCTGAGATACTGCAGCTGACTCAGAGACAATGTTCCTCAGAACAGGATAATATTCTATGGATATTAATAGTGTACAGTATCTGTTCCTGTAGCTAGTTTCTAAGGTTGGTAGGATAAGAATTCCTTCCCATATCTGTCCTATGAAGCAGTATAAAAAAACCAAAGTTTCCTAATAATGCAGGAAAGTGTAAAAAAAGTGGTTCACCACAAGAAATGGAAAACAAAAAATACCTGATTTTTACTGGTTTCTGCATAATGATTTAGACGTAAATGAAAAAATGACATTAGATATTTATAAGTAGAAAATTAAGTACATGCTCACAGCAAAGGAAAGCTTAAAGAGTATGTAAATGCAGCATTTCAGTGGTATTTCAGGTCACTGTATATAAATAATAATGGAAGTATTAAAAATAAAGAACTGAAACTTAAGAACTGGTGAGTGTCATATATAAATTGTATTCAAAATCACTAAGAAAAATAATCAAAAGAAACTATCAGTAATCAATGGCAAGGCAAGGTAAATCAAACCTTTTTGTAAAAGAACACGTTAAGAAAGGTATCAAATAAGTAGCATATTAATTCTAATAATGCTTCTATGAAACAAAATTCCTCTCAATTCCTTTGTGAACAAAAGGAATTCTTGTAGCTCTCTTTTTAAAATGTATTAATTGTTCCTATACCTGAGAAGTTTTGTACAATTCTTATATAAGAAAATCAAAAGTACTGCAAGTGCACCATGGAACCTACTACCCCAACCTATTTGTATGCATCTCTCTGCCAAATATATATTCATTAAATAAATGCTTTTTAATGTAATTATTTGAAAAGCTGTGTAACATCCTTTACTACGAGTTACTGACATGACTTGAATATTTTCATTTTTATTTTTCTGTTCTTTGTCTTATGACCACTCAAACAGAATATACACAGAGACAAAAGAAAAAAAATGGAGCTGATTCATTTGAAATATTTTATACAACAAAACAGCAAAAACATTGCACACAAACAAGCAAAGCCATGAAATGTATAGCAGTGCTTGGGGAAACAAAAATTTGTTTTACCTCTTTATTTACTTCTAACCCTAATTAAATACACTGGCAGATGATTCTGTTTTCCTGTGGCCATCAACTGAAAAATGTCATGGACTGAAAAGCCAAATACTCTAGACTATAGCAATAACAGAGTTTTTTAGATGTTATTAGACATCATCATCAAGCATTTCAAGCTCAAATTGATAAAAACAATGGAGGTTAGAAGAGTGATATTCAAAATCACTACCAGGACTGTGGAAACCTTTCAGAGAGACAGTTTCATTTTAAGCTCTCACAATTTTGTCTTTTAATCAATGAAACCATCAGTGAAAAGCCAGTTCAAATCAGAGTCTGTCCTACTATGTCACATCAGGGACAAGCAACATACTGCAAAGCACTTATTTCAAAACAAAAATGCTCTCAAAAATGCTATTAAAAGAAAACATTGCCATATTTGAAGACCACGCATCAAGAAATATCCTGGCTTATACAGCCTTTTTTTAATCTCTTCTCATGCCTATTTGTATTTCCTATAGGCAAAATGGTATGATGGATCTGTACCTCTGCTTCTCATGTTATAGCACATATGCAGGGAAGACAGCAAGAGTGGTCAGAGCAGCCAGTCCAGGACAGATCAAGGGAAAACACTTGGCTCTGGCTTAGAGTACCCTTGTAGTTAAAGTCAAAGAGACATTCTGGGGAGAAAAGGCAAAAGAGGGGAGAAAGAAAAGGTAATTAAATAAGGTTCAGCTTGGCCAGGTAATATTTATGTATTATATACACAGATTATCCTCCTGGGCTGCCCAACACAATCCAATATAATCAAGAGTAGTGTACTGGAAAAAGGCCACAAATTACATCATCCTTCATGCACCAAATTAAATGTTCCAGCAGCAGAGCAGGCTCAGGAGCACATCTCGGGCATTCAGGGATCAAAGAGATCAGCACATGGCACAATGATGGGCAGCAATTTATGGTTAACAGGAGTGTCCTGTTGTCAGCAGTGCCAGAGGAGACCCAGTGGGACAGACCACTCTGCAAACCCAATAGAGCTTATGTGAAGGAAAAATGGGAGAGATTCTTATAAAGCCCATAACCTGCCAGAAACATCTGTATCTCAACATGATTCACAATATGTAACACTGAGGCTGCAATCTATCTTCAATTTAAGCTGGTGAAGAGAATTTAAGCATTGCTCCAGCCTCCTCCTTCTCCTCCTCAGGAACAGGCAGAAGGAGGCAGGAAGAGGCAGGCTGGAGGTAGGAAGAGGCAGGAAGATGCAGGAGGAGGGAGCTGAAGCAGCACAGCAGAAACAGCTTCTCCTGGGGTCTCTGTTCTCCTTCACAGCAAAGTGCAGCCACTGACAAAGTCTTGAAACTTCACTTTCACTAAATGTGTGAAGGCAGATATTCCCACTGATCTCTGAGACTTTAGGGCATTTGGAGAATAGGTCTACCTAGCACAGCAGCAGCCCACATGTTCCCATGTATTCTTCCAGATACAGGGCTGGCACAGACCTCCTGCCTCAACAAGCTGAAACCAGAGCAGGAGAACAAGCCTTGGTGGCTGAAAACAGTACTGATCATACCTTCTCCAGGTTCTTGGACTTTGCATCTGGTAAGACTCCATTACAATTCCATCAAATAGGCCTTAAATTAATCCAGCTCACTTCACCTAAGCAACAGACTTTACCCTACTGACACATTTTGTTTTCTCATCCAGTTCTTACTGGGAAATGCAAACAATTCCCTAGCCCAGAACAAATGAATTTCTCACAATAAATTTTTCCTTGGCCCTAATGGTCACTGTCTCTGTCCAGCCCTTCAGCTTGGACAAGCTGGTCTGTAATGTCATGATAACAACACCACACTGCACCACTCCGTTTGCGAAACACTCCGAGTTCTGAAGTTCAAACTGAAAAAGGTAACCTATTGAAATCACAGCAAGAGCTTTGCATTTACCTCAATAATTTAGTAACTTATATCCACAGAATCATAGAATTTTTTGGTTTGAAAAGGACTTAGAAGATTTTTCAATTCCAAGCCCCCTGCCATGGGCAGTATGCCATTCACTAGATCAGGTTGCTCAGAGCTCCATCCAACTTGGCCTTGAACAATTCCAGGGAAGGGACATCCACAAATTCTCTAGGCAAAATAAATTATTATATTAAGAACTGTTAACGTAATTAACGTATTAAATTAGTATTAAATCAGTGAATGAGATTGCATTAATTTATTAAAAAAAATAAATAAAAAAATACACCTTCTAGGCCAGAAATCCATATGTTATGTGATAGCAAAGTCACAAACACCTTCATACTTGGAGTGCACCCCAGGGACTAGTCACACACACAAAAAAAAAAAAGAATACAAGCTCTAAAGAAACTACTGACACCACAAGTTTTATTTTGTGTTCTAATTCGTCCCTTTTTAGCATGCTTTAAATTTACAGCATGAAAGTACAGAAACTAAACAGAACCCACAGGTACATACACATGTGATCATCAGCAAATTGCTTTGGGTCTCACTGATTTTGGCAGTTTTACAAATTTTTTATTTCCAGCTGGTTGAACGGTTCTTGAACAACTTTTCTGTTTTACTGCAGCAGTCACATGTTGGGGTCAGAGGCACAGGAAATAGGACCTTACTTGTGGTGCCTGGCTCTGACACCCAAGAGAGCTCTGAGTTTAGCATAAAACCATGGAGATGCTTTTAAAGTCAAACAAAGAAACTAAAAATGTGAGTGTGCAAGTTAGGTAGAGTTCTCTTAAGTCACTGAGTGAGAAAGTTAGAGTTTAGGGTTTAAGCTATATTAATGAATAAGAGACAACATAGAGGATTTAGTGCACTGTTCCTTTCTCCTTCTTCATCGTCTTCTTCTAAGGTTTTTTGGGTAATAATGAGTGATTGGATAAAGAATTCTGCAGTGCACCACACAGGTGTCAGGTCATTGGGTCATTAAGAAAAATAATTTACTTGGCATTTAATTATTGGGCAAATAGACACATAAAAGACCTTGGAGGGAGTCTTTGTTCTCCATTTTGCACCTCTCTATCTTAGTGTATGTAGCCCCTTGTACTCTGTATATATTTAATATAGATAAGGAAAGAATAAACAACCAAGCTCAAACACAACAGAACAGTCTCTCTCTCATCAGTCTCGGTCCTGGGAAAAAATATCCCAAC